TATTAATAAAACATTTGCAAATATATTAAATCATTTGATTATGGTAATTAAATTCCTTAACCCCTGGATTCATATTTAAATATGAAAACAGGGGTTTAAAAATGAATTTATGCACACAATTAGTGAACATTGTTTGTGTTTACCATTGCATGAGTACTACATGACACGCACATGCGCTGATGTCACTTAGTATCGCCTACAGTTTTAATGAGAGCCATCTAGGAGTCCCTGTGCCCCACATTTCACTGTCTTACATAACGAAAACGTTCGGACTGTTGTATGCGTGTATAGTCAATATGTGTTGTGGTTAATCGTTAATACTTAAACGTTGAAAATGTTTGTAAACTTAATAAGCTAATTTTCTTTATGATTAAATGCTTAATGAATTATAATAATTATTATTTCAACAAGTTTCTTATAAAACTATATAATTAGTAAATAAAACGATTTAACTTAAATATTGAACACATTGTAATAATTTTAATGTCAAATTGAAATGTAAAATTTTATTATAAATTAAGTTATAAAAAATTAAAAATTATAAACCATATAATGAAGTGTTTATACAGTACATAATTACACTTTTGATTACAATTTTGTACATAATTACAAAAATATAAAATTTCACTTTAAAATGAATTAAAAATATATTTTAATTCAAACACAACTATCTAGAACAATTTTGAATAAATAAATAGTAATCATTTGCCGATAATCCTTCAACAGAGTTAACAAGGTCCCTTATGTGGTCCGTTATATTTGGCGATAGGGCATTTATGTTTGGTGCACGACCATAAAGGTATATGTGCTCTAAAATAAGTTGTTTAAAAATTAATTATAAATACAATGTAATAATTTAGAATATAAATACCATGTTTAACAGAATTAATTGTTTGACAAAAGTAAGACAAGTAATATGTTTTGTAATCAGTGTCCAAAACAGTGCCGAATATTTCTATTATAAATATAATTATGTATATGTTCAAAATGTAATTAAACATGTTCATGTTTAACATCTAGGAAAACATACCAAATCTAGGATTGCTAAGCTCAATTTGCATGCGAATAGGAATAGCAGCTTTGTTCATTGGCAAACCACTCAACCCTAATTTAGCTTGCCCACCCCCACTAAATAAAAATTATTTAAATTAAGCCAATTTAATTAAATTTATTTATTTATAAAATTTTAAATGTAATTTTTACTCACCGTAACGAAGTAGCGGTGAATGTGAAGGCCCATTCATCTTCTGGTGTAGTACTGAGATGAACTTTATTACATTTACTAATCTGACCAGGAACGTTTGGGAATATTGCCAATTCATACCATAAGCCCATAATCTAATATTAATTGTGATAAAATGAGTAATTATTTTATGTTCATTATAAAAATATAATTCTCTCTCTCTCTCTCTCTCTCTCTCTCTCTCTCTCTCTCTTTCACTCAATCTTCCCAAAACACTTAAATCCATTAATTAATAAAAATATTTAAATCGATAATTAATTTCCATTAATATCCCAAANCTCTCTCTCTCTCTCTCTCTCTCTCTCTCCCAGGCTTGTAATATTTAAATCAAAATATTAGTATATTATAATTTATAATAAATCATTTTGTTTGTACAAAATAAATTACCTGGCTAGCATTTATTTTTATTCCAGACATTTGTGGGCAATTATCGCACCGATTAGGGTGTAAATTATGTTCGTAATCAAAACAATGGCACGCGATTACTAACTTTAAGCCAAACGCACAATAAATGATAAAATTTGAATTAATTACTACCATTATGAAATATATCAATATATAGTTTATAATATTTAAAATTAACCAACATTAAATGAAAAACAGGTAGTTTTTTAATTTCTATAGCTTTTATAAAGTATTACTCTTGCAATATAACTCGTTCTGCACTTAAATAGGCATTTTTTCTTATTATAAGTCCTTAACACAATCTAGTACACTTTGCCACACTTTATTGCAGTACGTGGAATTTTGCAAATAAACCTTGGCCCTTCATCAGCATACAACACGTTAACATAAATGATTTAACTAAAACTTTTAATTTATTACATTAATTAAATTACTTTTCAAAATTTAACTGGATAATTCATATAAAAGTAAGTGACAATTTAGTTAAATTCATTTTATTTTAACAATAATGTTTAAATTTAAATTTATATTATTGATGGCCATGTACACATAAAGTGTGTTGCCCAGAATCGAGGTAATAGGATCTAATCAATTATTTAAATGCATTTACTGTGTCTAACTGTAATTAAGTGTGTCTAACTTTGTTTGAGTTATAATTATGAGTTTATTGTTTAGAAATGCTTATAAGTTTATAACTGTCATTATTTTGTATATGATGCATTTTTATTTTGCTTATACTACTGAAGTTAGGCAAATAAAGTTAAATAAACGAGTGCAAAGTTGCATATTGATATTACGCCTTGTTTCTTGTATTATTTATATAAAACAATAAATTTAATTAAAATACTTATGTGCCATTTATTTAATACGAATTACTTGAAATGTTGACATTGTTAATACAATTTTGACCTTACTAGTTATAAATATATTGTAGTTTACAATACTTACTTTATAAAATAATTTAATTAAAATAAAATATTTTAGTTCAATTTCAAAAAGGTATTTGTACAAATAATTATTATCAAATAAAAATACCTTGTTTAATTAATAGATTATTGCAGTATGTTCTGTTGACATAATATGTCTGTGACAATACTTGTAGTCTGTGAACTACAGTATGTGATGATGTATCAGAACGAACTGTAAACTATACCCATAGTACACATAAACACACACGCCACATTCGACTTAATTATACAATATACTTTATAAACACTTAAATAAAATATGTTTACTAGCTAAATATAATTTGTTAGTAAACATAGCAGTTTGTTTATAAATTTATGATTGTAAAAATATTTAGTTTTAAATACTATTAATATCCTCGCTACATTTATTCTAGGTTAATAAATATTTATTACAGAATATTTTGTGTAAACTCATTTTGTAAGTTTATATAAATTTACATATATTAACATTTTCATTTTAATGGTATATTTGATGAACTATAAAACAAATGAGCATTTTTTAAAATCCAATAAAGAAATTTATTTAATAAATTTTTCATGTATAAAATGAATGAATTTTCTAAATTACATTGTATGTAAAGTTCTTTACATTGAAGTTTATACAAGAATATACCATTAGATTAGTTATATTATTGTACTTATATTAAGTATATTTGTAAAATTAGTATTTCAATTTAGATTTCTGCATGTAATAATAAACAAAATTTTCTCAATGTTCTTTATTATTGTTCAAATCCAAAAATGGTTCGAGCTTAAGCATTTCATTATAGCGATCGAGAAATGTGCACACTTTCCAGTGGCCGCCAATAATATACAGACACCGGCGGGCGAACAGTCGGGTGTCAGCCGATGGCCAGTCGGCCGACTCTATCTCTC